CTGAAGATAAAGAACTTGTGGAGGAAGCTGGAGAGACATCTCAATTGGTAATCTAACACTCCATTTCTCAATTGGTGAAGGCCTTCCTATGGAAGCCCTCCTGTAATTGCAGCACCGAGGGGAAGTCAGGCAGATGCCTGGAGCTTGCTGACCACACAGTCTCTCAGAATTGGCGAGCTCCAGGTTCTCTGAGGGATCCTGTCTCAAAATAAAGCAAAGAGTGACTGGGGAAAGACACCTACTTTGATCACTGCCCGCCCCCCGCCCCTTTTGTGTGTACACATACACTTGCCCAGCCCTTGTCCCACACATGTACCACATTTACATAAATATACACACAAAAAAGAACTGCTGACCGTTCCTGTTCATCCTTTAGGTTATGGACAGGGAGACTGGGTGTGGGGGTCCACCCTGTGTTGGTTGCATTTAATAGATAATGAACAAACCCCAAAAGCTTTCTCTCTCTTGTGAAAGAATGCTGGGGGAGCTTCTCAGAGGGGCAGGGGACTCCTGTGCTCTGAGCTTGGGACAACATTCCAGGCCAGGACGACTTCCTGCCACAAATGTTCTACTCAGCCAGCATTCGGAGGAGATGGGTCCTTGCCTTCTGGCCTCTTTAAGGTCCAAATACAGAGGGGACCCCGTGCTTGTTCTGGGCACTCCATTTTCTCCTATTGCTTCCAGGAGCCAATGCTGGAGGGCTGTGTAGTTCCTGGCTACCTCTTTCTCTCTCAATCTTTCCTTCAGCCAGCTGGCTCCCTGGCTGATAGCTGTGGTTAGTGCCCCATGGGTGAGCTCTGTCACTGGCTCAGGGATGTGGTGAGGATTCACCTATGGTTTAGAGAAGTAGAGAGAGGCTACAGCATAGGTCCAAGCAAGCAGCGGCCGCCCATCGCTTCCAGGGATATACCCCCTTTCCACTTCCAAAGAGCACTCTTGTTTCACCCTCTGTTGATCTTGAGACCTCCATTCTTCCTCCTGGGTTACACCCCTCATCCACCCCTCTCTCCCAAACAGGTCTCCAGGCCCCAGCAGTCCTAGCTTCCCAGGAAAATATGGAAATGCACCAAAGGCAGGGGCCTGTAAGGAACCAGAGGAAACTGGTATCATTCCCTTGATCATAGTCTCATTTTGTAGCCCAGGCTGGTCCCCAACTCACAATGCCCCTGCCTTAGCTTCCTGAGTGCTGGAATTTCAAACTTGAGCCAGTATGCCTGTCTCCAGATTATATTTCTACTTCTTACGGATGACAATTCACCCCAGGGCTTAGGCTCCTTGTTGTGGATGGAATTGTCTTAGGGACTACACCAGGATATGTAAAGCAATGGGAGTCCTGCCCTCAAGGAGACTCAGAAGGAATGGCAGCTCCTTATTAAAAATGAAGGAGTACCAACTGGATGCAGAGGGGTAGGTGCCTTTATGTTTAGAGAGCGTGCCTTGTGTACGGAAGGCCAAGGAGGGTTTCTAACCTAGGAAGTGGTGTTTGATGGGAGACAAAGCAGAGAGCTTAACCCGGGATATGGGCAGCCAACCAGGGTGATGGGGCTTCTGAAAAAATAAAAATAAAAATCTCCTAGCCTTTCATCTGACAGATTTCCCCAAATCAGTCTTCGGAAATCTGCAGCCCCATGCAGGCGGTGGGTCTAACCTCTTTCTCTTATCTCTTCATGGCCTTCCTCTCCTGTTCTCCTCCCCCAAAGGATGGGAAATCTTCAAAGAAAGCGATGTGTCACTGTAAGTATACAGCCCAAGAAAATGGGCCAGATAAATTATTAAAACAGAAAAAGACAGCAAGTGATGGGGTGGGGAGCCCACAGAGGGCAAAAAGCCACCTAGATGGATGATGCCCTGGTGGCCGCTAGGAGTCCGTCCTCCGAGTCCTGGACAGGTGATCCGGTCCCCACCCGGCCCACTCTCTGGCTTCTCATGCCAGGGTCAGAGGTGTGTGTTTGTAGAAGCTGTGAGGGTCTGACGGCAGCAAAGTCCCAGGCGCCTGGTGGGGCCTCTGTGTCTGACCAGACGCTTGGGATTTACTTCCCCTAAGACTCAAGCTGGTAACTACAGAGTTTTAGTCTTTGCTTTTATCTCTTTTTGAACTGCAAAGAGACATTCCCAAGGGGCAGAGGGGATACTGTTTTCTCATGAAAGAAGAAAGCCATGACAGGTTTAAGGAAGTAACCAACGTTCTAAGCTCTGTGAGAAAGGGTTTTGCTTTGATTTCGAAGCCCCTGGCACTGGTGTGGGTGTGGGTGAGAAAGACAAGTAGGGACCCCACAGGAACTCTACTTCTGTAGCAAATGCTCTGCAGGATGCCCCCTGTCAGCTCAGGATCTGTGACCTGGGTCTTCTCTTCCATTTCCACACAGTTCCCATGCACTACACTGCACCCTAGACATCTGGACCAGGTGATTCTGGGGGTGTCCTGGGTACAGTAGGTGTTTAGCAGCTTCCCTGGCTGTCTTGGACAATATTAACCCTTTCCTGGATGTAAGCTGCCTTCTGTCTTCCACCCTGTGCTTCATCATGGGTACTATTTTTTGTCTCTCTTCCACCTGGGACATATGGGAGCAGGCTCATGCAAGTGGTACTGTCTCTCTTGTTCACTGAAGTGCTAGAACAATGCCTACTGCACAGATGGCACTTACCCTTCCTTTCCACATGTTACGCTTGGAATGTGCTGGAAACCTGGGGTAGTGAAAATGCATACCAGCAAAAGATCAGTTTGAGGTTGGTTCTTAACTAGATCACTAATCAACTGCATGCTGGGTAACTCCTTGGGCAGGTAACCCCACTTTTCTGAGCCTACCTAACAGGATCTGTCCTTTCTACAAGTACAAAAGTCTTCATTGAGAGTTATCGTGAGGGTGATGGGTGCAGAAATACAACAGGCACTAAAGATGTGGCATAGACAACTGACAACAGGCCAAGTGTGGTGGCTCCTACCTACAATCCCAGTCTGCAGGAGGCTAAAGCAAGAACATTGCTAAGATTCCAAGATCAGCCTGGGCTACATGGGGAGTTCCAGGCTAACCTGGTGTGAGCTCTTGACTCAAAACAAATAAAAAACCAAAGCCTCAACAGTATTATTTTGCTGTTTTGTGAGGTCCCAGCCATGCTTGGATAAATGCATACTGCATGAGATTCAGGGGCGTTGCTTAGATTAGCTTTTATTTCCTCCAGACAGGGTATATTAAACAAGAAGAGGAATGAAGAACTTTGGAGGGTCACACAGCTCTGGGTTCCCTTGTCCTTTGAGACAGGTAGGTGCTCAGAATTGTACTTTATAGTACAGAAGCCACATGCAAAGGTCTCTTGCAGTGTGGCTCTTCTGTTTGAGACGCGTAAAGTGCACACCAGACTTTAAAGAGAGTGGAAAACAAAGAACGTGACAACTTACTAAGTATTGATGTTATTTTGGCTATCTCAGGTCAAACCAACTTTATCCTTTATTTCTAAGTTTGAATTTAAATTTATTTATTTAGTATGTGAATATGTATGTGGGCACATGAGTGTTGGAGGTGTGTGTATAGGGGGTAATTTTGCAACAGACGGGCCTCTCCTTTCACTATGTGGTCTCTGGGGACAGAACTCAGATCCTCAGGCTTGGTGGCAAGCAACTTTACCAGCCAAGCCATCTGGATGACACACCTGTTTCACTTTTTAAAAATTGTAGTGCCTAGGGCTGAGGACATAGCTCAATAGCAGTGTTTGCTCACCTGGCACTGGCTTGTCAAACCAGTGCTTTGGGATTGACCCAGATCCCTTCCCACAAAGTGCTTACTTGTAAGTCTAAAAACGACCAACCAAAGTAGCCCACCTGTTTATATTGAGTAGCGCAGCACAGGGGAGTAGGTTAAAAAAAAATGGGGAGAACTAAGTCTCCATTGTACAGATCATAAAACTGAGGCCTGAAGCAGCGAATCTAGCTATAAGAGCAGAACTGGGTTTTTCCCACGCCCAGGCTGCCAGACACCAGGATAAGCTTAGCGCAGGGCCAGCAGAGACGTCGTTCTGAGGACCACAAAGGTGTGGTGGAAGCCTTTAAGTCGCCCTCCCTTTTGCAGAGACCTCCCCAGACAAAACAAACAGGCCCTTGGGGTCTGCAGAACTGCAGGGGGGAGGGGGAGAGGGGGAAACGGAAACTAAGAAAGATCAAAGATCCGGCGGTTCACCGCTCCCGGCCTCACAGCTTGGCAGTTCGCCCCGACCCCAGTTGGGCACTCAGGAGCCCATGGGCGAAGAAGAGTTGCAAGCGACAGGGGACCGCTCGGGGTTCCTGTACACTTATTGTTAACAGGAGTGGGCTGAACTCGCTCTAGCCAGCAAGGTACCCTTCTGATGTCTACCGGACTCCCAATGGAAAAACAAAAACAAAAACAAAACAAACAAAAACACAAAATCAAACAAACTCAAAACCCAGAGGAGTCAAAGAAAAAGGCAGGTAACTGAAAACAGGGACCACTTTCTGCAGAAGCCTGGGCACTGTAAGTTTGGGAAGGGACAAAACCATGGGAGAGCCGTAGACGCGTGCGCTAGGGCATCTGAGGTCGTTAGCTGTGACCTCAGTTTCCCCACCTGTGAACTCGAGCCGTCGAGTCCCACTCTGGCAGCTCCGAGGAAACGCAGAGGGAAGTCTCAATGTCACCAGCGAGGGCAGCGCTGCTCCACCACCCAGCGGCCAGAGCCTCCGCCCAGTCCCCACTCCCGCCCCGAGGTTCGCACAGGGGGCTTGGGACCCTGCGCACTCAAAGACCCTCCCCACCGAGTCCCCGCCCACTCCACGCCCTCCGTGGGCCCGCCCCTCGGCCAGCCCCTATCCGCAGGCCCCGCCTCTACCCGCCCCACAGCGTCCGCCTCGCCTTTGATGGGCCGCTGCTGGCCAATGGGCGCTTGGGGAGGCGCGGGGCCGCGGCGGCGGGCAGGGGGCTCGGCGCGCCCGGGCGTCAGTCCGGCCGCGGCGACGGCGGCAGGAGCGCGTCCCGGCGCCGCCTAAGGCTGCGCTCGGCGCGGGGACTGTGAGGAGGAGGCGAGCGAGGCTGGCGCGGGGTCGGCGGCCGGACGCATGGCTTAGGACGCCCCGCCGCCGCGCCCCAGCATGGGGAAACTTCACTCGAAGCCGGGTCAGTGTCCTCGCCCGCGCGCCGGCCGCGGCCCCGAGTCCTCCCGCCGGTGCTAACTCTCCCTCTCCTTTCTTTCCGGCTCCCGCCGCCGCCGCCGCCGCGCGCGATGTGCCCGCAGCCGCCGTGTGCAAGCGCAGGGAGAGCCCGGAAGGTAGGCGCGCGGGCCACCGGCCCGGGGGGCGCGAGGGAGGCGGCGCGGACCGCCCTGCCGCTGGATCTCATTACCAGGGCTGCCTCAGCCCCCAGCCCCGCCCCGGGAGCGCTCTTTGGGGCCCCTCTGCCCCTCCTACCCGTTCCCCACAGCCCAGTGCTCCCAACTGCTGACCCTAACCCCCTCCACTTTGGCTGCGGCGTCTTCTCTTCAGATCCCCAAGATCTTGCGCCTTCCTCTAGCCGCCAGCCCCTTCCCCGGAGAACTTGGTCTCTGCTCCCACTGCACCCTCTCTGCTGACCCTCAGCTCTCTCCTCCGTAGTCCCTGCCTCCCGCACTCCTTTCTCTGATCCCCGAACTCCTTCAGTCAGGGTACTGCCTACTCCCTTTCACCCTCTGAATCCTCCTTGCACATAGAATCTCGCCGAGCCTCCTTTCTTGGCTATTTCCCTCCTTTGGATTCTGCTCCGTCCGGCGCTTGAACCTCTTGCCAAGTCTTTACTCTCCGGGCTGTGCCGCCTTGTCTCCTTCCCTTCACTCTCAGGTAACTTTTTGCCAGCCGTGGGGGCCCAGACTCACTGTCTTCCTGTTCTTCCCGCCTCAGGTGACAGCTTTGCCGTAAGCGCTGCTTGGGCAAGGAAAGGCATCGAAGAGTGGATCGGGAGGCAGCGCTGTCCAGGCAGCGTCTCAGGACCCCGTCAGCTGAGATTGGCAGGCACTGTTGGTCGAGGCACCCGGGTATGGCCCCCACTCTGTTCCACCCTTTCATCCCTTTCAGCCTTGGGAAGGGTCTGAGGATCTCCCCGACTCCAACTTTTAGCATCCTGCTTGCACGCTGTCTAAGTCTAAAAATCCCTTCTCAGCCACTGTGTGCCCCACTAGCCCTACTTGAGCCCCATGCTTTGGAGGACCCTTGTCGATCAAGTGAGCACCAGTCTCCTGCCCAGCTGGGCACAGAGGAAGTGCTTGGAGAGGAAGTGCCAGGGAGGAGGTGATACCGTTCCAGTGGGCTGGGGAAGCTGTGCTGTGTCTGTGTGTGTGTTGGGGGGTGAGGGCTCCTCTGCTTTCCTTTTGTGACCAGCTTTTCCACCGGGAGGGGTTAAGACTAAAGGGAGACAGGAGTGTCTGGGTAGAGGGCAGGGCTCTGCTGGCCCAGGATCTGTGGCTACCTCCAACTGTGTCTGTGGCATTCATCAGTGCCATCTGCCATCTGACTGTAGAGTTTGGAGGCACTGAGACCTGGCTGTCGCCTTAGCGTGGCCCTGAGAGGGAGGGGGCATCTCTGTGGAGTGGTCTGGGTACACCCTCTTTCTTCACTCAGGAGGTTCATGAGGCTAGAGTTATTCTGCAGGAACAAGTGGGTTGGGGGAGTGAGTGACTCCAGCCCCTGTGCCTGGCCTGGGACTGGTGTTCACAGATGTCCTGTGAGCTCCAGAACTCTGCACGGGGCTTTCAGATGGTCTGCGTGGAACTCTTGCAAGCTAAGGATCAAAGGATGAATCAACTTTTTGATGTGACATTTAATTTTTTTTTTTTTAAACTTAGAGGGGGAAGAGACCAAGCCTCAGTTCTGGCTAGTTCTTTGGTCTTGTTCTTTGGGTAAGGGTGGTAGAATCTTCAGATGTGAGAGTGTGTGTATGTGTGTGTGCGCACACGTGTGTGTGTATGTGTGTGTGTGTGTGTGTATGTGTATGTATGTGTGTTAGTATGTGTGTATTGTACCTGGCAGCACCAGTGCAGAGAGGTGTCTTGGGTATGCGTGTGTAAGTGTGTGTTCGCACGTGTGTGTGTGTGTGTGTATGCGCATGTGGATGTGCGTGTGTGGTAAATGTCCTTTCTCTCTGGGATAAGCTACCCATCTCCTTCCACTACATGGCTCAGGCTTCCTCTTCCTGGCCTTCCAGTTTGCTGCTGGCTGGGACTGGAGCTGCTATCCGAGTAGAAAGGTCACAACTGGTCTGAGGTGGGGGTGGGGGGACTGCAGTTAGAGCCTTTCAACAGAACCACAAACTTTTCCTTCCCCCCACCATCCCCAGTTTGTGATGTTCTTATTTATTTAAGGACCAATGAAAACAATCCAATACAGACATGTGAACAGATGCGTTTGTGGCTCAATGCAGGCCAACAGAGAGGATTTCCATTAATCAAGTTTGGGTTTTTTTTCAGCCTGTTTATTTTCATAAAGTATTCCTGCAGAATGACATTTATTTAGGCTCTGTCTCTCTCGTCCCTCTCTTTCTCCTCCCTCCCCCTCTCTCTCCTCTCTCTCTCTCTCTCTCTCTCTCTCTCTCTCTCTCTTTCTCTCTCTCTCTCTCTCTCTCTCTCTCTCTCTCTCTCTCCCCTAAACTGCCAGGCAGCTTTTACTTCATGCTAGAGGGGAAACTTGAAATACAGCGAGGGCTTGCCTCCATTGGCTTTTATCTTCAAAGCCATAACAAATGTTACCCGCATGTTTTTGGTGGGTCTCCTTGGCATCCAGGCTTGGAGGATGGGGGGGGGGGGAAGAAGGAGAGGAAAACAAAAGTCTGTCGTTTTTAATTAAATAGTAGTGTTCCCAGCAAGAGGAATGCAAGCCAGTAAAAGTTGCCATTGGGGGAAATGAAGCAGGGGGAGGGGGGAGCCCTGCTTAAGCCTGTGGCTTTGCTGAAGTCACGGAATTTTGTTGCCTGGTTTCTTCCCCCAGCTGAGGACAGCATGGGATGGATGTGCTTGCTCGCCTTCCTGCCTCACCCCCCTCTCAGAAAAGGAGGGGTCATTAATATTTGTTCAAAGTCCTTTTGAAGATGTGAGGCATAGAGCCATCAGTGTGACATGTGTTGGATAGTTAAGAGGGTGGGCCCAGCCATCAAAGATGCTGAGGGGGGGAGGGAGGTCTCTGTTTCCTTGAGAGTCGATCTTAATAGCAGACCTGGATGCCTGGGTCCCAGTCTGCGGTAGCCACAGTAGTGGGGGTCATACATCAACCCTAGAGAAGGACCAGGCTGAGCCAGAATGTGTGGCCGCACCAGTGGTGGCCTGTGAAGCAATTCAGGTGGTCTTTAGAGGGGATATCTTTAATCTTTATGGATACTTATCTTTTTTAATCAGTGAAAAATAACTAGGACATCAAACACATGATTTCATGGATGTTATATCACTTAGGATGAATCAAAGTTGAAAGAGTTAGGTGAGTTCAAAGTCAATACAGGGGAAAAGACTGGGTTCAAGTGGTCATAGTTGGGAATGCAAGGAGGTGTGCTCACATGGTGGGGGCACCGAGAGTGGTGGCTAGGCCATCGAGGAGCACACTGAAGTCCTGCCATTTCCATGGCTCTCACTGGCATGGGAGGGGTGGCTGGCAGGCCCCTCTGTGATAGCATCAGGATGTAGATGGGTGTGGGCTCTAGCAGTCTGCTAGCTCCCAGGGCTGGCAGTTTCCTGTAGCCTGTACCAGGCTTATCTTAGGGAAGGACTCAGTGTTTACTTCTCTACCTGTCCTGTCACCGAAGAGGCTGAGGACACATTGCTGGCTTATCAAACTGACAACATTATTGCTGCCGTGAGAACTACTATTGCCTGAGCGCCTGTCTGTGTCCAGCACATAACTTCTGTGACCCTAATCTCCCCATAACCCTCTGGAGCTGTGGTCAGCTGCTGTAGACTGAGTTGTGTAAAGCCAAGCCTTGCCTTGTTTCCAGGGGCTCACAGACAATTGCCACCATGTCCACATGAACTGGTTGCAGGGTAGGAAAAAGCATGAGGGGCCCTGCCTTTCCTGTGTACAGGAGCCAAGTTGCATATGTAGCCATAAAGTGTAAAGGTGGCCACAGAGACACAAAACTCAGCCTACACACACACACACACACACTCACACACACTCACACACACTCACACACACTCACACACACACACACACACACACACACACAGAAGTGAATGAGGTCGAGCTCTGCAACAGGACGTTGTCACCCTGTGCAATCACATTAACGTTGTGTGTCTTCATTAGCACACCTGTAAAATGGGCACAGTAATATTATCATCCACAGCAGAGCTGTCGCAGATAAATCTGGATAAGAAGAGGACCTGGGTTGAGAGTTGATCTTTCCGTAGGGATCCTGATGTGTGTGCCCTTTCCCTCTGCACCCCTCTAGTGCGGGCATGTCTGGTGGGGACCCAGGCTGAGGCCTGGGCGTTTGCTTTTCCGTGGATGCTTGATGAGGTACAGGAGAGTCTAAGCTCAAAGGAGAAGAGTCATGCGTGACTGGAGACAGAAAAGCACATGAACGAAGGACAGTAGACTGAGCTAAGGACATGGCTGAGGCGAATGTACTGAGCAGTATTAGAGGCTAGACAGTGCTCTCCGAGAGCCAGGAGAAACAAAGCATCAGGCAGCAAGAGAAGGCCCAGTGGAAGTGCTAGGTGAGCAGAGGCATCATGGCAGAGCTCGCTAGGTAGTTGGAGCCATATGCTCAGGCGTGAGGAAGGATACCTTGCCTGTGTCCACACTGTGAGCAGGGGCACACGTGTGTATATGGATTCGTGCAACCTTTACTTCTTGCACCACGACCCTTTTGTTCTTTTATAGCAAGACTGCTTGCAGAAATAGGCTGGGGCTTGGGGGCAGGCCAGCCCCCTGTAGATCAAAGGCGGCTGCCGGGCACTTTGGTAATTTGATTAGGGGGCACCTAGCACATTTTGATATTTGGGGGAGATTAGGAGGGTGCAGGCATGCTGCATGGGGCCAGGTGGGGCTTGTGTGATGAGATTGGGAGCCAGCCCAGCTGCTGCCTGAATCCTGAATTCCAGGGGAATTACCCTTGAATGATACCAGTTGGCACAATTAAAAGGCCCCATGTCTTCACCATATGGAAAGTGTTAAGCCTCCTTACGTGGTTTCCAAGCTATGTGTTGGGAGGTGGACTTGACATTTGAGGTAGAGCATAAATTAAATACTTGGTGTTGAGGAATCGAACGATGACTTGCTTTGAGGATGGGGGATTTCAGGGTAGAGGCATCGTGCCTTCACTCACAGACGTCTTTGAGCGGTCTAGGGAGGGTCTCCTCGGCTGATGGCACTTGGGAACAGCCTCACAGCCCTGAGAGCTACCTGTACATGGGAGCCAGCAAGGAGTGGCCTGGGAAGCCTGAGCTGTGCCAGGTGCCGGACATCACTGCAGGCTGCTCCTAGCCTGTATCTTTCCAAGTCCGTGTCATCACCTGTTGCTGTGGTACATCTGTGTGATGGGATTTCTTGGAGGCGCTTTAACTAGTGCCTTTCCTCCCTCTGAAACTTCTTCAAGAAGGATAGTGGGTCTTCTTGAGCCAGCAGTATGTGTTGTCTGTGTCCTACAAGCCATAGGCATGTGTGTCTCTCTCCATCCCCAATCTCGGCAGCACCTCCTACATGTGGCTGAGGGTAGAGTTGGAGGCTGTTACTTCTTTGCCTAGTGGGAAGAGGGGAGGCAATGGGATGGTGAGCGTATCCTTGTTTGGATCAGGAAGCCCACTTCTCCATCTCTCTCAACCCCATCAGTAACCACCTGTCTCCTTGGACACTCGGTCAAGGTTGAGCTGTCATTAAGAAGAAAGTCAGCCACCAAGTGCAGTTTCTTTTCTGAAGTACATAACAGGCACTTGCTGTGTATGAATGAAGAAAGAAAACTTGATCATTATCCTTGCTGCCTCCTTCCTTCTAGCCAACTTTTTAAACCCTTTATTTCTGATGCTAGGTTTTATCTTTCCCAAGTCCACTATCTTTA